GCCAGCACGTGCGGTTGCGACGGGTGCACTGCGAGCCGCCAGACGTTGACGTCCGTGTGACCGTGCAGCGTCGCAATGCATTGGTTCGTGGACAGGTCCCACAACTTGCACGTCGCGTCTTCGCTGGCCGTGACGAGGCCGAGCGATGTAAACTACGACGTTGTTTGTCACAACATTCTGGCGACCAGATTCGAGGGGGTACCTTGACATCCCAAATGCGGGCCGTGTGGCCCCACCCACGAAAGATGCTCTCGAACGGACGGCTGAGCGTCGTCGCGGGGCTGGTAACGCCGGTGCCGCCATTGGCCCAGAGCTGCACTGACCGATCGTCCGAGACAGATGCGAGGCGCTGGCCGTCGTCGGACCACTGCAGCTTAAAGAGCACGCCGTCTGCAAAATACGACTCGTAAGGCGACGTGGCACATTCGTGTCGTACCATGCTGGTGCAGTCGCTGGACGGGTTGTCCATCATCGCCCATGGGGTTCCACAGCAAAATGTGCTACATCCACAAAGGCGCAGGATCAAAGACAGCAACCAAGCGTCTTTCAATGTACCTGGAAGACCGTACCGGCGGCGACGACGAGCGAGTCGAGCGACCGGCCATAGAGTCCCATGGCATACTGCATGATATGAGATCGAGTTGGAAGAGCATGGATCGTACCAAGATCGACCGCTCTGAGCAGCGCACGCTATGCACAATGGTATCTGTCGTCGGGTTCCACACGTGCACGAAGTTGTGGGCCATGCCAACGGCCACGAGCGGCAACGCGCCACCGGGCGTCGGTTCGTCGCACAGCAAGCGCGCGTCGAGGATCCAATCCGGAAACTCTTTTTGGACCACCTGCACGCGGCGCATGTCGTCCATCGGCGACGACGGCGCATGCGCCAGGACCGCAAGCATCTTTTGGCCAAAGAGCGCAGCGACGGAGCCAGCGACGTCGAGACCGTGGATGGCGCCGCTGCGCATCGCGGTGAGCGCGTGCACTTGACAGCCGGTCGCAGTGTCGTAGAAATACACGGTCGAGCCCACGCAGGCGTAGAGAAGCGACCCGTCGGGCGAGAAGTGCAGGGCCGTGACGGCGCCGACGGCCGCGTGCTTCTCGAGGTGCCCCGCCATCGAAATCGATTGGCAGAAAAAAGGACAACACAAAGCGCACTTAACCGGAACATCGATTGTACTATTGCGATCTTCCAACGCAGGTACTAGTACGACGCCGTCTGCGTCTTGACTGTATCGATCAATACTCGACAAAGTTGGGCTATAATACGATGACACATTGTCCACTTTACAGCTGAAACGCTGCCACGCTTGTAGGCGTGGATACAAGACGTTGGGCGAGCCACATTGACCCCGCGCTGCGTCTTGAGCCGACGCGAACGCAGGGCCAAACGGCAAACGTGATTTGCTTTGCCCACGAATGACACTGCGTGTCGACTGTATACCAGCATGCGCGAGCAACCTCCCGTCCATGTAGACGCATGTCGAAGTGGATCGTTTGGTAGACCGACCTGTGTTGACACGACAAACAACCCGGCATTGAGCTACCAGGTAGACACAGTGAACCATGCAGCAAACCCATTGGTCTTGATCAAGGCGACCGCTTCAAAAAAATCCTACAAATAAACATGCGAATTCGTCCCTTCGAAAAAGATACCGTGTCAAACTCTCAAAATTAGTAGCACTAATCACACGCAACAAATGATCTCCACAACGTTGTTTGACGTGGCACGTTGGCTAGAATCCGCAATGTTCATTCTCTTCAACAGATCAACCTTTATTCTAGCGCTGGTACAGGGTGGACGCGATGTGAGTGCAAAACGGTAAACATCAACATGACCCATTCCGTCCCATTGGCAAATTAGTTTGCGTGAAATTAGCTGATGGGTGTCATTTGCACCTCATTTGCAACGTCGCCGATCGACCGAGAGAGCCTCCCGAGATGTCTGGTCTGTCTACAGCTCACTTGCCGGCGGTCGTGGTCGCTTGGTTCGACCCGAAGAGCTTGCGCCACAGCGACTCGGGACGTCTATCCAGGTCGATACTGCAGCACCGCGCACGTCGAAGTGGCAGGCCATCAATGATTGCCAACTGCGCAGCCCATTTCGCGCACGGCTTCTTGCTCACAAGGCGCCAGCAGCGCGATATGTGACCGCGTCCGTTGACTCGGGATGTCGGCCAGAAACTCGAATTGCGTTTTGAGTTGCTGGCTCTTGATGATCGTCCACCGTTGCTACTTCAAGACGGTGTGAGCAGACGCTGGTGTTAATAGGAGAAGTCACTTGCCTTTTTACTTTATTTTACACTCTTAATCTCTACACTCACACAACCAAAATCATTCATCGAATTCAAGGCACCGCTTCATCTACAAATACATAGCAGATGTTCACGCAGGAGGGACCAAGTGCCGTTGGTGTGCAGTAACATGGTCGTCGTACTCCATGCCTAATACTTGTTGAACGGATTCCACCTCACTGATGCTGGCTCACGACGACCCGCGATGCACACGAACAAGAAGCATTGTGAGTACTAACGTTGTTACCATGGACAACCACGTTGTTGAATAAACCCTCCGGAGACGTTTATCGTTCAAACTGTTTTGGCGGGCGACATGGACGGTACGTTTTGCCGCCAAATTGCCCAGGATAGAAAGGGGCGATCGGATTGGGTGTCAGAGTATACTCAGATCGACGCCATTTGCCGATTCGAATACAATACCCAAGTCAAATCGAGCGTAGTAACCTGAGTTAGTAAACAGAGTGGCACGGCTTACCCCGCCCGAGTGGAGATTGTGCTTGGAGAATTCCATGGGCCACAAGCGCGTCGACCTTCACTCGGTCACCAGCAGTCTTGAGATCCATCGCATCCGTCGCAGCAAGATACGTAGATCCACGCGCGTGGTCAGCGAGATCCAAGCGTCTGCGGTGGCCGAGCCACTCGCGCCATCTGTTGTGCCCTTTTCGGCCATTATCTGACCCAAAGCGATTTGATTGGTCGAATCGCAACCATCGAACAAGTCATGGATATTTCCCAGTTTGCCTTTTGCCATGTCCAAGGTCTCGAGCGCCAAGTACGCGACCTTTGCACCCAAGCCGACGGCGCGCTCGGAGCGCCACCCGATCGAGGACGCGGGCCTCTTCAAGTGGCTCTTCTTCTACTGGGCCAACCCGCTACTGCGCACGGGCAACGACCGGCAACTCGACCCGGACGACCTCTGGCCGCTCCAGGACGCGAGCAAGTGCGACGCGGTGGTCGCATCGTTCGACCCGGCCTTCAAGCAAACGCGGTCGCTCCTCAAGACCTTCTTCCGCATCTTTGGCTGGCGCTTCTTCTGGATCGGCTGCATGCAGCTGCTCGCGGTGCCGTGCACGTTGTACGGCCCGTATGTGCTGCAGCAGCTCCTCGAGGGCATGAGTGCGGGCACCGACTCGGCGACGCTCATCACGTTCGTCGCCTCGCTCTTTGGCGTCCAAGTATTTGCGGCGCTCCTCGCTGTGCACATGGACTATCTGGACAAGGTGATTGTCGTGCGCTTGACGTCCGGTATCCAGCACCTCCTCTTCCAGAAGGCCCTGCGCCTCGACGCAGCGTCGCGCAAGGCCAAGTCGGCGGGCGAGATCTCCAACCACTTTACGTCCGACATCAACTGGATCATTGGCATGAGCTACTACACCAACTACCTCTGGATCTTGCCCGTCCAGATTGCGATCACGCTCTTCATGCTCTACTCGATCATTTCGTGGGCCACGTTTGTGGGCCTTGGCGTCATCCTCCTTGTGATGCCCATCACGAATGTGCTCGTGAACCGCGGCCACGAAGCCTTCGAGACGCTCATGGAGCAAAAGGACGCGCGCATGAAGGTCATCAACGAGGTCTTTGGCGCCATCCAAGTCATCAAGTTCAACGGCTGGGAAGAGCAGTTCAAGGCCAAAATCGAAGCGCTGCGCGGCGCCGAGCTACACACGCTGGTCCGGATCTTCAACTTTATGGCGTCCAACATTACGCTCGCGTACGCTGTGCCAGCGCTCGTGACGGTCTCGAGCTTTGCGACCTACTCGCTCGTGCTCCAAGAGCCCGTGACGCCGGCCAAGGTCTTCTCAGCGCTCGCGCTCTTCAACTCGCTCAAGTCGCCGCTCAACAACTTTCCGCACACGATCACGGGCACGATGCAAGCCGTCGTTGCGCTCAAGCGCATCGCCGCGTACTTGGACTTGGCCGAGAAGGCCGACGATTGTGTCCAGACGCCGACGACGCTGTCTCCTGACCAGCTCGCGCCGTTGGCTACCGACAAGGTGGCGATTGCGATTGACGACGGCGCGTTTGGGTGGGACCACGAAAAGCCGATCTTTACGGACTTGAATTTGCGCATCCACCAAGGCGAGCTCGTCGTCGTCCACGGCCTTGTCGGCGAAGGCAAGTCGTCGCTCTGCTCGATCCTCCTCGGCGAGCTCGACAAGGTGCGCGGGTCGGTCTTTGTCGGTGGCCGCGTCTCGTACTTTTCGCAGCAAGCGTGGATTCAAAACATGACGATCCGCGAAAACATCCTCTTTGGCAAGCCGTACGACCGGAAAAAGTACGCAGCCGTCGTTGACGCCTGCGCTTTGACCAAAGACCTCGCCGCACTCCCCGCCGGGGACCGCACCGAGATTGGCCAGAAGGGCGTCAACCTCAGCGGCGGCCAGAAAGCGCGCATCGCGCTCGCACGCGCGTGCTACAACGACGGCGACGTCTTTCTCTTGGACTCGCCCTTGTCCGCGGTGGATGCGATTGTCTCGAACGAGATTTTCACCAAGTGCTTTCTCGGCCTCTTGTCGAAGAAGACGGTGCTGCTCGTGACGCACAACCCCGAAATCATCGCGTCCAAGCACGTCGACCGCACGATCGAGATTGCCAACGGGATCTGCAAGCAAACCATCAACACGACCAAAGAAACCTTCGACTCGGCTTTCTCGCCGCTCGCGGCGCACCCGATGGTGGCGGACGGCAAGGAGGATGCCGATGAGAATGACGTGATGGATGATGACGTGACTGCTGTCTCGACGGTCGCGCCGCACTTGCTCTCGCCGTCGCTGCGGTCGCCGTACATGCCCGGTGGCTTTCACGAGATGGTGTACACGCCCCGGCAGAACGCCGACGGCACGTTTGAAGAGCCGCTCGTCCACGGCAAGCTCGTCGACGAAGAGTTCCGCTCCGAAGGCCGCGTCTCCTCGAATGTCTTTGGCGCGTACTTTCGCGCGGCCGGCGGCTGGCCCGTCATCGTGCTCCTGCTCTGCGTCCAGTCGACGTGGCAGGGCCTCGCGGTCTGCGGCGACCTCTGGCTCAGCAAGTGGTCGGCGTCCTCGGCCGTCGAGGCGCCCGACGTGTTCCAAGCCAACGCAGCGTGGAACGTCGGCGTTTACGCGTGCTTTTCGCTTGGGAGCGCGTCGATCGTCATGGTGCGCATCCTCAGCGTCGGCTTTGCCGGTCGGAAGGCGTCCCGCGCCCTCTTTGAGCAAATGACGTCGGCGCTCCTCGCGGCCCCGATGAAGTTTTTCGACACGAACCCGACCGGCCGCATTCTGAACCGGTTTGCGGGCGACTTTAACGCACTCGACGTCGGCGTGCCCTTCTCGTTCATGTTTGTGCTCGCGACGTTCTTCATCGTGCTCTTCGCTATGGGCACGACGATCGTCGTCGTCCGGTCGCTGAGTTTTTTCATTTTGCCGCTCTTTTACGTCTATTACCGCGTCGGCAGCTTTTACCTCCAACCCGCGCGCGAGATTGAGCGTCTCGGCAAGGTCACGTACTCGCCGATGATCAACTTGATCTCGGAAGCGATCGACGGCGCGGTTGTCATCCGCGCGTTTGGCGCCAAGCAAGAACGCCGCTTCCAGCGCCTCCACCACCGCAACGTCAACCGCTACAACGAGTCGGTGTACGCCAAGCAGATTGTCGAGCTCTGGTTCATGCTACAGAACCAGCTCCTCTCGGCCAGCATGATCCTCGTCATCTCGCTCTCGCTGGTCTACGCGCGCGCGTACCTCACGCCTGGCCTCGTCGGTCTCGTCTTCAACTATGCACTCAACGTGCCGCTCAACCTCCAGTACCTCATCCAAGACGCGTCCGAAATTGAAAAAAACATGGTGTCCCCCGAGCGCACCATCGAGTACACGCAGATTCCACCCGAAGCGCCGCGTGTGATTCCTGGCGCCGTCTCGACGCAGTCGTGGCCGTCGCAGGGAGCGATTACGTTTGAGAATGTCAGCTTCCGCTACAAGGACAACGACCCGCTCGTGCTCAAGGACGTCAGCGTCGCGCTCCGGGGCCGCGAAAAGGTCGGCATCGTCGGTCGCACGGGGGCTGGCAAGTCGAGCTTGACCATGGCACTCTTCCGCATCAACGAGCTTGCGGCCGGGGCCATCTCGATTGACGGCATCAACTGCGCATCGGTC